ATGTTTCAAAAATGGATCAGTTGTTTCTACTTGTGCCAGGTAAAAACGAGTTTTAAAGAGCAAGCTTCATTATCATTCAGTGTTTTTATTCAGTGTTTTTAACGTTTCCCTTCTAGAACGTTTCACCGTAGGACTCAGCCGTTCGTTACAGGGTTCCACACTGGATGTTACTGAGGCAACAAGCATGTTAACGTTGTGAAGGAACAGCTGAAAGGTATGCGCAAGAATGCTAAAACAGCTTGTGGTACGCAGACATTAGGAAACAACACCAATGTTAGGACACCAGTCGCCTACTTTCGACGGGCACTATTTCTTCCCTTCCTTGACAACTTGTTGGAGCAAATAAGTACCCGCTTTAATGGACTATCAGAAGCGGCATTGCTTGGACTGCTACTGATACCTGCCAACTTACAGCAGCTTAACGAGTCTTCTCAAGAGAAACTTATTCAGCATTATTCCCCTGATCTGCCGTCCCAAGCAGTACGTCGCAGTATCTGGAGCTGTGGAAGTGCTTCTGGTATGTTATTCTGCGTTAATACTATACATGGGTTACCAAGTTTATAGTGAAACTGTGATAAGCTGAAAAAACCGATTATACCTTGTCTTGAAATATGTGTTAATTCTTGCTTTTATTTTTAGGAACAACGCTACCGTAAAGTTCACGACACTGCAAGAGACATTGAAAGCCTGCAGCTCAAGCCTGTACCCCATGTCCACACAATTCTGCGCCTCCTGTTGATCACCCCAGTCACAAGTGCAACTGTTGAACGTAGCAACTCTTCACTGCACTTTGTGAAGAATGTTCATCGCAGCACCATGGGAGAAGAACGTCTAAATGCACTGTTGCTGCTCTTTATTCAAAAGACATACCTTTAAATTGTAATGCAGTTGATGACGAGTACGCCAAACGAAACCAGAGAAGGACGACATTTATCAATCCACTGCAGTGATTTATTTCGATTAATACTGGGTGTATAAATGCAATGCAATGACTCTGTAAACAGTTCGCCTACCACTAACACTACGATTTTGCTTTGAAAATCGTTTTTATGAAATGCTCTTTAATTCTATCTTCCGAAACGTTAACGTTACTTTACTTTGTATCACGAATACGCCCACAATCATGTATGCTGCATCTCCTGAAAAGTGAAATTTT